ATATTTTAGAAATGAGACCTTTATCAGAGACACTGGTTGTAAAAATTCTTTCCCAGTTTTCTGCCTCCCTCCTAATCTCGGATGCATTGGTTTTGTTTGTGTAAAAACTTTTCAATTTAATATAATCAAAATTATCCATTTTGCATTTCATAATGTTCTCTACCTCTTGTTTGGTCATAAATTCTTCCTTTCTCCATAGATCTGAAAAGTAAACTATTCCTTGGTCTCCTAGCTTACTTATAGTCTCAGTCTTTATATCTAAACCCTGTACCCATTTTGACTTTATCTTGGTATAAGGTGTAAGATGCTGGTCTATGCCCAGTTTCTGCCATACATTTTTCCAGTTTTCCCAGCAGTTTTTGTTAAATAGTGATTTCTTATCCCGGAAGCTGGTTGTCTTTGGATTTATCAAATAGTAGATTAGTATAGTCATTGACTGCTGTGTCTTGCATACCTAACCTATTCCACTGATCCATCACTCTGTTTCTTAGCCATACCAAGTAGTTTCGATGATTGTTGCTTTATAATACAATTTAAGATCTGGTACCACTAGGCCACCTTCCCCTGCATTTCTTTTCATTACTTCCCTTGATATTCGGGACTTTTTGTTCTTCCAGATGAACTCTGTCATTGTTTTTTCTACCTCTATAAAATATTTTTTTGGTAGTTTGATTAGTATGACACTGATTAAGTAAATTAATTTAGGTAGAATTGTCATTTTTTTTATATTAGCTCGGCCTACCCATGAGCAACTGATATTTTTCCAGTTATTTAGATCTGACTTTATTTGTGTGAAAAGTGTTTTGTGACTGTGTTCATATAGTTCCTGGTTTTGTTTTGGCAGGTAGCTTCCCAAATATTTTATAATGTCTACAGTAATTCTACATGGAATTTCTCCTTCTATCTCTTGCTGCTGGGCTTTGTTAGTAATATGTAGAAATGCCAAGGATTTGTACGGGTTTATTTTATATCCTGTAACTTTACTAAATTTGTTTATTATTTCAAGTAGGTTTTTACTTGATTCTCTAGGATTCTCTAAGTATACCATCATATCATCTGCAAAGAGTGATAGCTTTGTTTCTTCTTTGCCTATTCTAATTCCTTCAATTTCTTTTTCTTCTCTTAATTGCTATAGCTAACATGTCTTGCATAATATTGAATAACAATGGTGAAATGAGAAGAACCAGGAGAACATTATACACAGTAACGGCCACATTGTACAATGACTGACTTTGATAGACTTGGCTCTTCTCAGCAATGCAAGGATCTAAGACAATTCCAAAAGACTCATGATGGAAAATGCTACCCACATCCAGAGAAAGAACTGTGGAGTCTGAATGCAGATGGAAGTATACTATTTGCTCTCCTTTTCCTTTGTTGTTTTGTTTTATTGCCTCATTCTTGTAGTTTCTCCCATTAATTCTAATTGTTCTTTACATCATGACTAATGGGAAAATATGCTTAATATGAATGTATAAGTAGTGCCTATATCAGATTGCATGCTGCCTTGGGGGAGGAGAGAGGGAGGAAGAGAAAATTTAAAACTCAAAATCTTATGGAGGTGAATGCTGAAAACTAAAAATAAATAAATTATTAAAAAAAAGATAACTGAGGTTTTCAGACTGGATAATTAGAAGGATGGTGAGGGCTGTCAACAGAATAAGGGCAAGAGGATAGAAGGAAAGTTTTGGGAAGAAGATAAGTTCAGTTTTGGACAATCTGAATTTGAGGCGCTGGTATGACACATCCAGGTAAAGATGTCCAACGAGCAACTACACATGTAATACTGCAGCTCTGGGGAGATGCAAGTATCATCTTGGTCCAAGCAAATTAAGAAAATGATTCCCACAGCAATAACATTATCAGCAGGAATTTTTCTCTTATCATTTATGTTTCATTAATTCACATTTAATTTATACCGGTATTTGTAACAACAAATGCAATGATGTGTCGTTATAATAATAATGATGATGGTGATGATGATGATGATGATAACAATTCTGTTGTTGTTGATGTTTCAGTCATGTCCAACTCTTCATGACCTTATTTGAGGTTTTCTTGGCAAAGACACTGGAGTGGTTTGCCATTTCATTCTCTAGCTCATTTTATAGATGAGGAAACTGAGGCAAACAAAATTAAGTGACTTGTCCAGGGTCATACAGCTAGCAAATGTCTGAGGCCAGATTTAAACTCATGAGGATGAGTCTTCTTGATTCCAAGCCCTGTGCTTTATCCACTGTGCCATCTAGTTCTCCTTAATAATAGCAATATCTAGCATTTATATAGTACTTTAAAGTTTATAAAATGTTGTACACATTGTTTAATTTAATACTCATACCAAACCTGTAAGGAGATACAGTCATTATACCCATTTTATAGTTGAGGAAACTGAAGGTGAGGTAGATTGTTCAGGATCACACAGCCATTAAGTGTATGAGATAGCATTTGAACTCAGATCTTTCTGACTCCAGGTCCAGAGTTCGTACCCATTGTGCCACCAAGCTACCTAAGTGAAGAAGAATACCCATTTCTTTGATTTCTTTGATAATCAGAATATTTAGGGTAGGCTGATTAGGTTTTTAAAGGATTCATAATTTGTAATTTGGGACATCGCCATTTCAGGTATCTTATCTATGCCAGATGAGAAATGTTTGCCTTAAATGCAAATCAATCAAGCTACTGAAGGGATTTTTAAAACTGTGACATTCACTCCTTTCTTCAATCAATCAATAATCATCAAACATTTATTAACTGGCATACATACAAGGCAGTGTGTTAGGTGTAAAAGTCACAAAGACAAAAAAATGAAATAGTATCTGTTCTCAAGGATCCAGTGGTGGAGATAACATATCATATGCATTTGCATTTCATAATGTTCTCTACCTCTTGTTTGGTCATAAACTCTTCCCTACTCCATAGATCTGAAAAGTAAACTATTCCTTGCTCTCCTAGTTTACTTATAGTTTACTTATGCATATGCATATGCATATGTAAATATAAATAAAACATATGAAAAATAAATACAAGGTAATTTTTGGAGTGGCACTAGTAATTGATAAGTACTTATAAATACCTTTTAAATTATATTTTTAAATGTAAGAAATTCTCAAATACTTTAAAAAACCATACAATTTTATCTATACAATTCAACAATGTAACATCATATCTTATTTTCATACAGAGAGCCATATGTATATAGAGAACACAAACATATATGTAGAGACACACAATACATAGAATTCAAATACATTCAAAATTTTTAAAAGACTGACAAACACACACTGATAAATAGTATAGCAGAAAGAGTACTGAAATTGAAGTCAGAGTAAGGTTCAAATTCAGGCTCTATTATTGTTTAATTCTTGTTAGTCAGTCAGTCAATAAGTACTTATTAAGCACCTACTATATTCCAGGAGCTAGGCCAACTGCTAGTGATACAAAAAAAGGTAAAAAGACAATCGTAGCTCTCACAGAGCTCATAGTGTAATAAAGGAGACAATATGCAAACAACTATGTACACACAAGCTATATACAAGTTAAATTGTAAACAATCAATAGAAGGAAGGTAGTAGAAATAAGGGGCATCAGGAAAGGCTTCCTCTGGAAGGTAGGATTTTAGCTGGAACTTGAGGGAAGCCAAAGAAGACAGGAGGTAGAGATGAGGAGGGAAAGCATTCCAGACATAAGGCACAGAGAATGAAAACTCCTGAAGTCAGGAGATGGAAGTTCTTGTGTGAAGAGGCTAGTCAGTCCAGTGTCACCAGATGAAAGACTACTTGGGAGGTAGGGTAAGAAAACTGTAAAGGTGTGTATGTGGGAGTATAAATGGCTTTGAATGCCAACAGGATTTTATATTTTATCTTGGAGATAATAGAGAACCACTGGAGTTTACTGAGACGGTGGTGGAGGATGGGGAGGGTTGGGAGGGGAGAGGAATAACATGGTCCGACCTGCGCTTTAGGAAGATCACTTTGAAAGCTCTTTTGAGGCAAACAAAACACCAGGGTACACAAACAGTCTAAGAGTGAGGCGATGTGGGCCTGCACCAGGGAGGTAGCAGTATCAGAGGAGAAAAGGGTGTGTATGAAAGAGATGTTACAAAGGTAAAATCAATAGGCCTTGGCAACAGATTGGTTGGGGGGAGTAATGAATAGAAGATGAGATCTAGGTTGTGAATCTGAGAGAATGGGAAGATGGTGGTTTCCTTAATAATACCAGGAAACTTAGGAAGTAGAAAGACTTCAGTCTCAGACATGCTGACTTTAAGATACCTTTGGCATATCCAATTTGAAATATCCAATAGGCAACTGGAGAATGTGAGACTGGAGGTCAACAAAGAGGTTAGGGATAGATAAGTAGTTTTGAGAATAAAAGAAATCATTGGTAGTGAGACTACCAAGAGTATTGAAGAAGAGAACAGGATCCAGGAAAGAGCCCTGTTGGCCACCCCATGGTGAAGATCTAGCCAAGAAAACTGAGAAGTAGTCAGATAGGTAAGAGGAGAACCAAGAGGTCAAACAGATTAATCTCTCTGGGTCTCAGTTACCTAATCTATAAAAAAAGGGCTTCTACTAGATGATCCCTAAGATCCTTTCTAACCCACAATTACGAAATCTCTTAATACTATGACTACGAAACAAAATCACGAAATCCTTTAATACTATGACTACAAAACAATGATACAATTAAGTGTTATACAACATAAACTATGAATGCAAAAAAGGGAGAGATAAATTTGGGCTTGAGTAATTTGGAAAGTTTTCCTTCAAACTAGGAAAAGTATATATAACTTTCTGGTCTCAAAAATGTTGTCATTAACTTTTACTGGCTCTAGACATAGTAATGCTACTGTAATTGTTTCTTTTCTTTTAAAATACATTTTATCAATGGAATTTGTCAATCTTTCTTAAATAGAACCTGTTGAAGAAACCTTAGCCTTTATGGTGAAACAAATGAATTTATAAATTTTGAAAGTAATAGAAAAACAGTATTTAACATACCATTTGAAGGGCAGAAAGTTCTTCTGTTAATTGAGAAATCTGTAAATTATACTGTTTTCTTGTATTTGCCACCTGTATATTAAGAGATTTTTAAAAATTATTAAGCTCAAAATCAAAATTCAAATTCAATAAATATTTTAAGTGTTGGGGGAAGAGGTCAAGGAATATAAAAACTAAATAAGATACGGTCCATATGTCACAATTCTCACTCTCTCTCTCTCTCTCTCTCTCTCTCTCTCTCTCTCTCTCTCTCTCACACACACACACACACACACACACACACACACATACACACACATACACACACACCATATACTTCTGTGTCTAAACACAATCTGATTGGGGGAAAATGTGCCCCAAAGAACCATGTTTCTTATATGGTAAGCGCATAATTAGGGACGGAGCAATATGAAAGACATGAGGAAAGACAGATTACATTACTGCTACTATTATTTGATATTGTAGAAATGATAGCTACGGTAATAAAACAAACAAAAAAGTTGAGATAATGAGCCTAGGTAAAAAAGAGGCAAAATATTCTCTTTCTGCAAATTGTAAGATGGTTTACTTAGAGAATAATAAAGATTTAATTAAAAAATTTTCAAAACAACTAGTAACTTCAGGAAATTTACTGATGTTAAGTTTATGGTCCAGTCAAATTGTCCTTTTAGCCATTCCTTACATATCAAATTCCATCTCCTCACTCTGTGTCTTTACGTAGACTGTCTTCCATGCCTGCAATGCAGTCCCTACTCAACTCAGCCATCTGAAATCCCTATTTAAGACTTGAAATTTCAGCTCAAGCACATCCTTCCACATAGTATTTTTCCCCTCCTCAAGTTGCTAGTAATGCCTATCCCTGCCTCCCAAATTACCTTATATTTATTTTGCATCTATTTATGAGTGCATATACAAGATCTGTGAGTGGTAATAACTTTCATTATTATCCCTATATCCACAGCACTGAGCATACAGAATCTCACACATAGCAGACAATATATTCTTGTTGACTGATGAAAGTAATAGAATATGAAATAAAAGCTCAAAATTATCAGCTTTCCCATATGTTACTAACAAAACTTAATAGGAGAAACTAGAAAAACAAATTATATCCAAAATAATGATAGGATGAATAAGACATCAGGGAGCCAACCTAGGACACATTCAGGGCTAATACAGATGTAACTATAAAATATGATTTACAAAATCATGAAAGGTTTCAATAACTGGAGAAATATTTATTATTCATGGTTGAGCAATATCAATTTAATAAAAATGACAAACTACCAAAATACGTTTATAGACTTAGTGACATGTCAATCAAACTACTAAAGGCTTACTTTACAAAATGAGACAAAATAATACCAAAATTTCATTGGGAGGAACAAAAAGTCGAGAATCCCAAGGGAAATAATGAAAAAAGACGGTATGAATGAGGCCTAGAATTGACATGACCATCAATACATCTAGAATGAAGAGAGAAGCAGTTAATTAGACAAAACCTTTGTAGTAAATATATTTGAAAAAGGATTGATATCCATGGGAACTTATGTAAGTATATAAAAATAAGAGCCATCCACCAATAGACATGTGGTCAAAGAATATAAAGTTTGCAAAATAAGAAATGCAAGCTACCAACAGACATATGAAAGAATGCTCTGAATCAGTACTAATAAGAGATGTTCAAACTAAAATAATTGTAAGGTTTCATTTATGCCTATCAGATTAGCAAAGTTGACAAAAGATGAAAAATGTTGGAGGGCTGTAAGAATATCGGTACACTAATACACTGTTGGAGGACCTGTTAACTGGTGTAATCGTTCTGGAAAACAATTTGAAATTATACTAAAAGAGTCACTAAACTGTACATACTTTTTGAACAAGCAGTATTATTACTAATCATATACTCCAAGGATGTTGAAGACCATAGGAGAGGTCCCATATGTTCTAAAACATTTAAAATGTCATTTGTTGTAATGGCAAAAAAAAGAGATTGTGAAAAACAGTAAAAGACACCATGGCATGGTGGATAAAGAAATGTCCTTGGAGTCAGAAAGACTTGGGCTTAAGTCTAGGTTCTGACTCAGACTAGCTATTTGACCCTTGGTAACTCCTTAACTGATTAGTGACAAGGTAAGGGTTCCTATTGAGAATGTAATCACAGGACTTGTTAACAACTAAAAAAGGTTGACCATGTACTAGGGCATAAAAACCTCACAATCCAACACAGAAAGGCAGAAAATTAAATGCATCCTTTTCAGATCATGATGCAATAAAAATTACTTGTAATAAAAGGCCATGGAAAGATAGAATAAAAATTAATTACAAACTAAATAACCTAATCCTAAAGAATGAGTGGGTCAAACAACAAATCACAGAAACAATCAATAACTTCATCCAAGAGAATGACAATAATGAGACAACATACTAAAACGTATGGAATGCAGCAAAAATGGTCCTTAGGGGAAGTTTTTTTTATCTCTAAATGCTTACATGAATAAAATAGAGAAAGAAGAGATCAATGAATTGGGCATGCAACTAAACAAGCTAGAAAAAGAACAAATTGAAAATTCCCAATTAAATACCAAATTAGAAATTCTGAAAACCAAAAGAGAGATTAATAAAAGTGAAATTAAGAAAACTATAGAACTAATAAATAAAATGAAGAGCTGGTTTTACGAAAAAACCAATGAAATAGATAAATTTTTGGATAATTTGATTTAAAAAAAGAAGAAAACAACATTACCAGCATCAAAAATAAAAAGGGAGAATTCACCACCAATGAAGAGGAAATCAAAACACTAATTAGGAGCTACTTTGCCCAACTGTATGCCAATAAATTTGACAATCTTAGTGAAATGGATGAATATTTATAAAAAATATAAATTGCCCAGATTAATGGAAAAGGAAATAAAATCCTTAAACAACCGCATTTCAGAAAAAGAAATTGAACAAGCCATCAATGAACTCCCTAAAAAAAATCTCCAGGGCCAGATGGACGTATAAGTGAATTCTATCAAACATTTAAAGAACAACTAATTCCAATACTACACAAACTCTTTAGAAAAACAGGTAAAGAAGGAGTCCTACCAAATTCTTTTTATACTACAAATATGGTGTTGATACCCAAACTGGGAAGAGCCAAAATAAAGAAAATTGTAGACCAATTTCCCTAATGAATATAGACACAAAAATTTTAAATAAAATATTAGCAAAGAGATAAAAACAACTTATCTTGAAGATAATACACTATGACCAGGTAGGATTCTACCACGTATGCAGGGCTGGCTTAATATTAGGAAAACTATCAGTATAATTGACCATATCAACCACAAAACTAACAGAAATCATATAATTATATCAACAGATGCAGAAAATGCATTTGACAAAATACAACACCCATTCCTATCAAAACACTAGAGAATATAGGAATAAATGGAGTCTTCCTTTTTTAAGGAAGATAATAATAATAGATAATAATAGATAGCATCTATCAAAAACTATCAGCAAGCATTATATGTAATAGGGATAAACTAGAAGCATTTCCAATAAGATCGGGGTGAAACAAGGATGTCCATTATCACCAATGTTATTCAGTACTGTGTAAGACATGTTAGCTATAGCAATTAAGAGAAGAAAAAGAAATTGAAGGAATTAGAATAGGCAAAGAAGAAACAAAGCTATCACTCTTTGCAGATGATATGATGGTATACTTAGAGAATCAAGTAAAAACCTACTTGAAATAATAAACAAATTTAGTAAAGTTGAAGGATATAAAATAAACCCATATAAATCCTTGGCATTTCTACATATTACTAACAAAGCCCAGCAGCAAGAGATAGAAGGAGAAATTCCATGTAGAATTACTGTAGACATTATAAAATATTTGGGAAGCTACCTGCCAAAACAAAACCAGGAACTATATGAACACAGTCACAAAACACTTTTCACACAAATAAAGTCAGATCTAAATAACTGGAAAAATATCAGTTGCTCATGGGTAGGCCGAGCTAATATAAAAAAAATGACAATTCTACCTAAATTAATTTACTTAATCAGTGTCATACTAATCAAACTACCAAAAAAATATTTTATAGAGGTAGAAAAAACAATGACAGAGTTCATCTGGAAGAACAAAAAGTCCCGAATATCAAGGGAAGTAATGAAAAGAAATGCAGGGGAAGGTGGCCTAGTGGTACCAGATCTTAAATTGTATTATAAAGCAACAATCATCGAAACTACTTGGTATGGCTAAGAAACAGAGTGATGGATCAGTGGAATAGGTTAGGTATGCAAGACACAGCAGTCAATGACTATACTAATCTACTATTTGATAAATCCAAAGACAACCAGCTTCCGGGATAAGAAATCACTATTTAACAAAAACTGCTGGGAAAACTGGAAAAATGTATGGCAGAAACTGGGCATAGACCAGCATCTTACACCTTATACCAAGATAAAGTCAAAATGGGTACAGGGTTTAGATATAAAGACTGAGACTATAAGTAAGCTAGGAGACCAAGGAATAGTTTACTTTTCAGATCTATGGAGAAAGGAAGAATTTATGACCAAACAAGAGGTAGAGAACATTATGAAATGCAAAATGGATAATTTTGATTATATTAAATTGAAAAGTTTTTACACAAACAAAACCAATGCATCCGAGATTAGGAGGGAGGCAGAAAACTGGGAAAGAATTTTTACAACCAGTGTCTCTGATAAAGGTCTCATTTCTAAAATATATAGAGAACTGAGTCAAATTTGTAAGAATACAAGTCATTCCCCGATTGATAAATGGTCAAAGGATATGAACAGGCAGTTTTCAGAGGAAGAAACTAAAGCTATCTATAGTCTATGAAAAAAATGTTCTAAATCACCATTGATTAGAGAAATGCAAATCAAAACGACTCTGAGGTACCACATCACACCTATCAGATTGGCTAATGTGACAAAACAGGAAAATGATAAATGTTAGAGAAGATGTGGGAAAAGTGGAACACTAATGCATTGTTGGTGGAGTTGTGAACTGATCCAACCATTCTGGAGAGCTATTTGGAACTATGCCCAAGGGG